AGGTCTCCCCTCCTCTGCCCACAGCCGTCTACGTCCCTGAGCCTCTACATGAAGCACGAGTGTCCCTCCTTCCCCAACAGGACAGTCGCCACCACAGTGAAATCATTTATGCCTGAGCGCATTTTACTTGGAACAACCCTAGGGGCTTGGCCACTTCACAGACCTGCAAACAGGCCTGGAGAGGGACCCACGAAGCTTCCTCAGCTCCCTTTGGGCCCAGGGATGTGAGATTCGGAGTCCATGCTCTTCACCACCCAGCTCTTCCTCTGTCTCCAATATAGGAAGACAGCTGAGTCCAGGCACAGCCCCAGTCTGCCCTCCTCCCCAGCCCAGCCAGGCCCCCTGCACATACCTGGTTCCCAGGGGTCAGGCACAGCCAGCCCAGGCAATTCCCCATGTGAGTAGTAGAAGCAGGCTTGGCGCAGTCCTCCTCTCCCTATCCTCTCTCTGGGGCCTTGGCCTGGGCTCCCCTGCCCCCACCCAAGCACAGGGCCCGCCTCTGGGCAGTCTCCTGGGCCATGGCCCCCTGGGTGCCCATATCCCGGCAGCTGCCCCTAAAAGCCACTTACGCTGAGGCGCCATGGCTGCTTCCCACCCCCACCCCTGCAATTCCTGGCTGAGGCTGCCTCAGGCTCCTGCCTGGCCAGCCACCTCCATCTGTCTGTCTGCATGTCCAGAGGCTGCCTGTCTGACCTATGGCTGGCCTTCCTGGACACAGCCTGGTGCTGCCACCCGTGGAGTCTGTGAAGATGGGTGCAGGCAGTGTGACCCACCACCACGCACCCCACACACCACACCTGTTTGGGCTCGGGGGTCATCCCACACCAACCAGGGCCACCCACAACCTGGCAGGCTGTAGCTTCGTGGCCACACTAGAGTCGAGGGAGGTGGCTGGATGGGAGGCACCAGCAGCCCCAGGTCCCCTGGGTAAGGGGGCTTGCAGAGCTTACCCCCCGGGTGGGGCAGATCCCTGATCAGCCTTGGGCATACACCAGCCTTCCCTGGCCCAGGACTCAGCCAATTCCTCCTTCCAGTGACTGAAGATGGGATGGGGGGCCAGGAGCAGTGTCTCACGCCTGTAATCCCAACACTTTGGGTCAGGAGTTCCAAAATCCCAACACCTGAGGTCAGGAGTTCGAGACCAGCCTGGCCAACATGGCAAAACCCCATCTCTACTAAAAATACAAAAAAAAAATTAGCCAGGCATGGTGGCAGACACCTGTAATTCCAGCTACTGGGGAGGTTGAGGCAGGAGAATCACTTGAACCCAGGAGGCGGAGGTTGCAGTGAGCTGAGATTGCATCATTGCAATTAATAAAAATTTAAAAATAAATAACTAAAAGATGGGATAGAGAACAGCATGGCGGAGGGAAGGGCCACCAGGGACATGAGGTCACAACTGGGGCCAGGAACCAAGGAAGTATCACAGTACACTCTACCGCTACAAAGTAACAAAGGAGTTCCCAAAGCCAAGAAGGGCTGAGGAGGGTAACAGAGTAGCAAAGGATCAGGCAAGAAAGGAAGTGGGCCTGGCAAAGCGGGGAGCAGGAGGAATGAGACAGCCAGAGAGGAACTGGAGGTCACACTTTCAGAGGAGGTTCAGAGTCAGAGGGGACAATGAGTCCAGGGACCTGGAGGAACAGGCAAGGAATGGTGACCCAGCAGCTCTCAGGGCTAAACCCTCCCACGCCTCTTCTCCAGCCAGCCTCCGGAAGCTCTCAGCCCTGGTCCAAGGCTGACCTTGGCCCCCACGGGTGCTGCGCTGGAGGCAGAGGAAGGCGAAGGGAAGCGCCTGGGCAAAGGTGTTCAGGGGCCGCCAAGTGCTTGGTGTCTCAAATAAAGGGCTAGGGAAGTGGGCGGGAGGCAGTAGGGTGGGCAGCAAGAGGAGGCTGGACTTTATTCTGCTGCTTCTGCGGAGTGCAGATGGGGTGACGTGGGTTCCCAGGGCAGCAGCAGGAGGGAAGAAAGTCAAGTCAGGGGCAATCAGAGGCTTGGGGGATTCCCCACTCTCCACCCAACCCCCTTTCCCCACGCCTGCCAGCATGCTACCCAGGCGAGTCCTATCCAGCAGAGGGAGAGGTCTCAGCTGTTCCCCTGGGCTGTCGGTCGGGGGTCCACCGGGGTGGGGGCGCCCCTGCACTCCTGTTTCTGCAGGACCTTTCCTCCAGGCCTTGAACCCCCATCCCTCCAGCAAGGTCCCAGCGATCTCAGGGAGCCCGAGCCTGGGCCTGGACAGAGGCTCTGGGATGTGGCCGCGGCCTGGAGCCCTGTCTGGGGGTGGGACCACTATTCCGACGCCCGGTAATGGTTCAGAGCTGCTCAGGCAGGCGCTGCTTTCTGATGGACATTAATGGTCCTGCAAGCATAACCAGACCGCGCCTAGGGCCTCTTCCCTCAGGCTGCACCGTGCCTCTCTTCAGATTCCGAAACTGGAGCAGGCGGGGCCAGCGCGACAGAAGGAGGTGACCAACAGAGACCCAGAGAGGAGGAGAGGGAAGGTCGGGGACTGCGACGACCCAAGAGGGAGGGAGGGGCAGGAAAGCGCTGCCGCCGACGGGGCGGCCCCGCCCACCCGCTGTGGCCCCGCCCACTGCGGCCCGCCCATTGCTGGAGGCGCGGGGCGGAGGCTACCGCCCAGAACGGTAGCCGCGCAGCGCCACCTGGTCGGAACTGGTCGCATTGCATCGTCCTAGGAGTTGCCCCAGGATCCTGCCCATCTGGCTTCCACTCGATCCAGTCCTGTGGGGTGGGGACTGGGGTGAGGCTGGCGCCCTAGGGCTGGTTGCGCTGCAGGGGAATAAGGGTGTGGAGCTGGGGAGGCAGAGAAGCCCCTCATCGGCTCTGCCCCCCCATCTTGGACCAGGCAAGCACCAGGGAACATCACTGAAACCTCCCCCCGTCCCCGCAAAAACAGGGCTTTGAGCACCTTGGCGTTTGCAAGGGAAGGCCAGAGCTGAAGCAGCTCCAGGAAGACCATTTAACCCAGCCTCGGGCCCTGGAGTCCTCCTTCGGGGAGGGAGGTCCCGGGCTGTCCTGGAATCTGCAGTCTGGAGCAGACGGTGGGGAAGGGGAGGAGGCAGTGGGAGGGGCGGTGAGAGCAGACACAGCACGAGTATCATCCCATAGGCAGTGGGGAGCCCTTGAGGCGTGGTGTGGGAGTGACAAGGTCAGGACATCCATGTTCTTAGAGGTCAGGTTCAGTGAGGAACAGGGCCGGGACTGGGAAGGAATGAGTTCACAGGGAGGAGAATGAGTTGTCCTGTGAGGGGTGTGACCACCTCTTCACCCAGCACAGAGCCGGAGGGAGGCCTAGATGGAACCAAGGGCTCCATGTAAGAATTGGCTGGTGAGGCTCACGCCTGTAATTCCAGCACTTTGGGGGGCCAAGGCGGGAGGATCACCTGAGATCGGGAGTTCGAGACCAGCTTGACCAACATGAAGAAATGCTGTCTCTACTGAAAATACAAAATTAGGCGGGCGTGGAGGTGCATGCCTGTAATCCCAGCTACAGGCTGAGGCAGGAGAATGGCTTGAACCCAGGAGGCAGAGGTTGCGGCGAGCCAAGATGGCGCCATTGCACTCCAGCCTGGGCAGCAAAAGGGAAACTCTGTCTCAAACAAAAACAAAAACAAAAAACAAAAAACAAAACAATTGGCTGGTGGGCCAGGTGCCGTGGCTCACGCCTGTAATCTCAGCACTTTAGGAGGACGAGGTGGGCGGATCCCCTGAGGTCAGGAGTTCAAGACCAGCCTGGCCAACATGGCAAAATTCCATCTCTATTTTAAAAAATACAAAAATTAGCTGGGCTTGGTAGTGGGCACCTGCAATCCCAGCTACTGGGGAGGCTGAGGCAGGAGAATCATCTAAGCCGGGGAGGCAGGGAGGCGGTGGTTGCAGTGAGCCGAGATAGTGCCTCATCAGCATGGGCTGGAGACTGTGTCTCGGAAAAAAAAAGAAAAAGAATTGAAGGGGTGGAGATAAAAAGAGCACCCACATTTGGGAGAAGGACACACCTTGGAGATGGAAAGGACCTACCAGCGAGGGGAGGCGGGGCTTCCAGGAGCAGGGGTGGGGGGCTGGTTCCACAGGGGCATCCTAAAGCCAGGCCCAGGACCACCCCTCCCCCAATCCTTGCTGGGTGGCCCCAAGGGGGGACCCTGCCACATGGCTACAGGAGGGTTCCAAGGGTGGGCTGCATCAGGGCATGTGACCTTGGTGGTTTGGGGTCCAGGACAGTCGTTGGAGTCCCAGGGCAGATTAGTGAGGGTTGAAGAAGGAGAGTGAGGGAGGAGGGGCCCAGACCCTTGGGAGAGGAACTGGAGGGGGCCTGGTGGACGGAGGTCCTCGGTATTCAAGATGGCAGGGCACATGTATGTGGGGGGGCTGGAGCCAGTGACCAGAAGGGCATGCAGAGAGGGATAAAAGGTAGAGGAGCAGCCGGGCACGGTGGCTCATGCCCATAATCCCAGCACTTTGGGAGGCTGAGGTGGGCGGATCACCTGAGGTCAGGAGTTCAAGACCAGTCCAGCCAACATGGTGAAACCCCGTCTCTACAAAAATACAAAACTTAGCTGGGCATCATGGTGGGTGCCTGTAGTACCAGCTACTCAGGAGGCTGAGGTGGGAGAATCGCTTGAACCCGTGGAGGTGGAGGTTGCAGTAAGTCAAAATCTCGCCATTGCACTCCAGCCTGGGCGACAAAGGGAGACTCCGTCTCAAAAAAATAAAAAAAAAAGCAAGCAGCAAGGTGGGGCTCAGGTGGAGGGGCCCCTCCTCCATGGGCATGACCCAGAAGAAGGGGACCAGGGGTTCTTAATCCTCTGCGGAAGACTTTGGCTAAGGGAGAAAGGGAGTGCCAGGACATTCAGGTTTGAAATGAATGCTGAGTGCCCGGCGCTTCCCCTGGTCGGCGAGGGAGGGGCCCGTGACATTTGCCAGGGCGTGGGCGCGCCTGTCTGCGCCCTGAGCTAGACGGCAAAGTACACAGGCAGACGAAGGGGTCGCACGCGGGGGCGCAGGAGTCAGGCGGATTTTATTGACCGGACAGCAGGCTGGGGCTGTGAGCGGCTCCTGGAAGCGCGGAGACTCCTCCTGGGTCAGGCACGGAGGCGCCGCAGGCGGGGGAACGCTGTCAGGACGGTCCGGGGGCCAGGCGGGGCCGGCCAAGGCGGTTTGCTGCGGGGACCACGGCGGGGCGGGACACGTCTCTCGGAAGTCGCTAGCGAGAACAGAGCAAGGCCGTGGGGAGGAGGCTGTGGCCCTCCACTGCCACCCCCGGGTGCCAGGGTCGAGCCTGCCCAGGGAAAACTTTTCTGGGCGCGGAGCGGGGGATGGAAGGGCCCGAGGGTGCCCCCTGAACACGCAGCTCTGTGCTGCGGCTCAGACCTCCTGAGACCCCTTTGCCTGCGGCGGTCCAGGCCTCCTCCCCTCTCACGTACCTGGCCGGCTCCGCTGAAGTCCAGGGACACCGGTTCCAGCGCAGACTCCGGGGCGCGCGGGCTCCGGGGCGCACGGACAGGGATCCCTGCCTCGGAGCTCCTGCGTCGCGTCTCCCACAGCTCCTGAACCCACGAGGGCAGCAGGAGAGGAGCCTCGCGGGCGGCGGGTCCGGGGGAAAGGGTGTCCCCGGTCAGGGGGCCGGCGGCCGCGCGCAGCGCGCGGCGCCACATATAGGGTGAGCGGCGCAGCCCCATGAGCAGGCCAGCGGCGCGGCCCACCGTGTGGTAGCGGGGACTCGCCACTTGCTTGTACCACGCGCCGGCGGGCAGCGGCAACAGGAACAGGAGCAGCGGCAGTGCCAGCCGCGGCCGGCTCGCGGGAGCCCCCCGCTTCCCCGGGCCCCGCGCCAGGGTGCTCGCGTCGACGGCCGCCCGGCGGGGCGGGCCACGAACCGGCTCAGCTGGGTTTGGGCGCGCAGTGGAGTCGGGACGCCCAGGTACCGGAGCGCAGGAGGCTGGAGGCGAGCCGTGAGTCCCCTTGCGAGCCCAGCTATAACCGTTCGTGGCCCCGCCTTGTTCCGCCCCCGCAGTACTGCTGGGCTCCCCAGATGGGAGGAGGGACGGAGGGAGGAGAGGGAACCCTGGCAGCTGGTGGGGATGTGGGTACCTGAGCACCTCACTGAGTGGGCCGCTGGCTGGAACTGTGCGCCTCTGGGGAAACACGTTCCATTCTCTCCCTGCTCAGCCTCCTCCCCCAGGAGTGGAAGTGCCAGGGAGAGGGTACTGGGAACACTGATGAGGGAGTAGGGCTGAGGGATGCCCCTTTAGCCAGACTCCTGCGGGTGGGACAACAACAGAGCGAAGGCCCAGGTACAGGCAGAGCTACAGTGGCTATCGCAGGGGGGCTGTAAGGGGCTTTCAGCACCATTCAAGACCCCTCTGGGTGACTCCCCACAAGAGTTGTCCCTTGTCCTTGCCTAGTACGGCTCCCAAAGCTATCCCCATACTCTGTCCTCTCCAGTGCCACCCCCAGCTTCTCCCCACCAACCTGTCTCCCCGCAGAGCTAGACAGAGGCTTAGAAGCCTCACATTGGCCACACCAAACCATTCTTGGGGTCTGTGGTTCTGCGAGACCTCCAGGAGAAAGAGTCAGCCCCTCCTTGAACCTCTAGCCCTGGAGGGGCAGGACAAGGCCTTGCAGACCTCCAATGTCTCCTCTCTGGTGATGGTCCCCTAAGATCACTTTATCCAGCGAGTCTCAATTTTTGTCTAAACCAAAACTTTGCCTGCCTCTGTGTGTCTGTGCCTAGAGCATCATTCCCTCCTTCTCAGACTGGCTAACACCTACTCATTCTTCAGGACTCCACTTAAATGGCCCAGGTCCTTGGCCAGGTGCGGTAGCTCACGCCTGTAATCCCAGCAATTTGGGAAGCCGAGGTGGGCGACCACCTGAGGTCAGGAATTCAAGACCAGCCTTGCCAACATGGTGAAACCCCATCTCTACGAAAAATACAAAAAATTAGCTGGGTGTGGTGGCAGGCACCTGTAATCCCAGCTACTTGAGAGGCTAAGGCAGGAGAATCACTTGAACCCAGGAGGTGGAGGTTGCAGTGAGCTGAGATTGCACCATAGAACTCCAGTCTGGGCAACCAGATGAAACTCCATCTAAAAAAAAGAAAAAGAAAAGGCACAGGGCCAGACAATCCCTCAGAATATACTTCTGTGCCCACCTGGGCTTAACAGCCCCCTCTCAGAGGGCAGGGCCTGACACACTCTTTCCTGACCTCCCAGCAAGGGTGAATCCAGCGCTCCCCCAGCAATCATGCCAGTCATGGGGCAGCCCCGGGTCCCAGATATCAGGGATCTCGTTTTGGGTCATGATAAACTATCTCATCTTGACCTCCAGACAATGCCATGAGTGAAACTATTATTGACTCCACTCACTAACGAGTGAACTGAGGCCCAGGGAGAACTGACCTGCCCCAGATCATGTTGGGTAAATGGTGGAGGTTAGATATATCCTAGCCCCTGAGCCCAAGAGCCTCAGCTTGGGGGAACAGGCTACCCCTGTCCAGAGAGGCAGAGAAGGGCTGGGGCAGGCTGGGCACGGTGGCTCATGCCTGTAATCCCAGCACTTTAGGAGGCCGAGGTGGGTGGATTGCTTGAGGCCAGGAGTTCAAGACCAGCTGGTCCAACATGGCTGGTCTAATGCAGATGGAGAAACCCCATCTCCATTAAAAATACAAAACTTGCCGGGCGCGGTGGCTCACGCCTGTAATCCCAGCACTTTGGGAGGCCGAGGTGGGCATGTCACGAAGTCAAGAGTTTCAGACCAGCTTGACCAACATAGTGAAACCCCATCTCTACTAAAAATATAAAAATTATCCGGGTGTGGTGGCATGCACCTGTAGTCCCAGCTACTCAGGAGGCTGAGGCGGGAGAATTGCTTGATCCTGGGAGGCGGAGGTTGCAGTGAGCCAAGACTGTGCCATCGCACTCCAGCCTGGGTGACAGAGTGAGACTCCATCTCAAAAAAACAAAAACAAAAACAAAAAAAACTTAGCGGGGCGTGGTGGCACACGCCTGTAGTCCCAGCTACTCGGGAGGCTGAGGGAGGAGGATCACTTGAACCTGGGAGGCAGAGGTTGCAGTGAGCCAAGATGGGACCACTATACTCCAGCCTGGGCAACAGAGCAAGACTCCATCTCAAAAAACAAACAAACAAACAAAACAGAAGGTCTGGGGCAGAGCCCGACTCCCGCTCCTGGGGCGTGAGGGTCCCCAGCGGGTCTGGTGAGTCTGAGAAGGTTTGAAAGCAGCAGCCCTCCCCACAAAGGCCACACTGAAGTGGTGAGATGCCAGCCCTGCTTGATAGTCCCAGCTGAGAGGAAGAGGATAAGGGCCTCAGCCCCTCCTGTCTCAGTTTCCTCATCTGTAAACTGGGGGTGAAAACAGTGGCCACTTCATCATCTCGTCGGCGTTGGTAATCCAGTGGTGGGTCTGGGAGCTGAACCGTGCCTGGTACCCAGTAGGCACTCAATGAGTGCTGTGGCTAGGATCTATCCTTGCTGCGCCAGAGGCTGACCACCCCCAGCCTGTCAGGAAAACACCGTGACGGGGGCAGAATGGGGGATGCAGATGGAGCTGTCTGTGCCAATTGGAGGGCCCCCGGGACCAGAGGCTCTGCAAGAAGCTGTCCCCGCCGCGCTCCCCTGGGGCCCCTTGTCCTTGAGAGCTGCCTGGAGTGTGTGGTGGGCGGGTAGTGCAGCACGACATGGGCCAGAGCCAGGCCCCATCAGGGTCCCTTGGCGCTGCCACCCACTCCTGGCTAAGAGGACGTGGGCGTCTCTGGACCCCTGGGGGGACTCCAGCCAGTCTGGGGAGGGTCCAGGATGCCCCCTGGAGGTGGCCCAGGGAGCTTCTGCAGGGGGAACTGCAGAAATTCATCAATGAAGGTCTGTGCTGGGATGGAAGTCCCTGTGACAGAAAATAGAAGGAGAGGCCGGGCACGGTGGCTCACGCCTGTAATCCCAGCACTTTGAGAGGCTGAGGCGGGCGGATCACCTGAGATCAGGAGTTCGAGACCAGCCTGACCAACATGGAGAAACCCCGTCTCTATTAAAAACACAAAATTAGTCGGGCATGGTGGCACATGCCTGTAATCCCAGCTACTAGGGAGGCTGAGGCAGGAGAATTGCTTGAACCTGGGAGGCAGGGGTTGTGGTGAGCCAAGATCGCGCCACTGCACTCCAGCCTGGGCAATAAGAGCGAAACTCCTTCTCAAGAAAAAAAGAAAAGTAAAGAAAAAGAAAACAGAAGTAGAAGTAGAGCTGTAACAGCATGGTAAATCTCAAAAATGGAATGGTGTACAACGAAAAAAACTCCCTGCAGCACAGTAAATTCCATGTGCTGCCATTTTCTGAGCTTAAATCCCAGGAGTGAGCTAGCAGCTGCAGTGCCTCACACCTATAATCGCAGCACTTTGGGAGGCCAAGGCGGGCGGATCACCTGAGGTCAGGAGTTCAAGACCAGCCTGGCCAACATGACGAAACCCCATCTCTACTAAAAATACAAAAATTAGCTGGGCATGGTGGCGGGCGCCTGTAGTCTCAGCTACTCTAGAAGCTGAGATAGGAGAATCGCTTGAACCCAGGAGGCAGAGGCCGCAGTAAGCAGAGATGGTGCCACTGCACCTCAGCCTGGGCAACAGAGGAAGGCTCCTTCTCAAAAACAAAACAAAACAAAACAAAACAAAACAAAAACCGGCTGGGCGTGGTGGCTCACGCTTGTAATCCCAGCACTTTGGGAGGCCAAGGCAGGTGGATCCTGAGGTCAGGAGTTTGAGACCAGCCTGGCCAACACAGTGAAACTCCGTTTTACTAAAAATACAAAAATTAGCCGGGCATGGTGGCAGGCGCCGTAGTCCCAGCTACTTAGGAGGCTGAGGCAGAATCACTTGAACCCAGGAGGCAGAACTTGCAGCGAGCCAAAATTGCACCACTGCACTCCAACCTGGGCGACAGAGCTAGACTCTGTCTCAAAAAACAAAACAAGAACAAAACAAACAAAAACAAGTAGTGGCTCCTCTGCCTTGTTTATTGCTGTGGCCCAAGGGAGTGAGAGTCGCCGGATGCAGGGAAAGGCCGCTGGGAACAGAGGCCTGGGGAGGTGTCTGTTGGGTGGGGTGTCCAGAACACATGGCGGGGGGAGCCCAGGGCTGGGTTAGAGGAGCAAACACAGAACCTTAAGGGTGCCTGTGGGCTCCCTTTCCAGGCGGCAGGAGGAGGGCCTCTGTGTCCTGCCCATCCTGGTGCCCAGGGAGCGGGCCTGGTGACGAAGGCTTCCTTCTCTCCGCCTCCAGAGACCTAAAGCCACAGCTCTCCTTGGGGAGGAGGTGATGAGAGCCGGCCCTGCTTCCTGAGGCTCACCTCTCAGTTCCTTGATACCAGTGTCCCGCCTGGAAATCCATAAGACGCTTAAGGCCCGGACCATGCCTGCCACAGGCACAAAGCCTGGCCCCAAACAGGAATGCCCTGGTAAGGAGGAGATTAATGAGCAAATCTGTTTGTGTCACTCTTGTTTTTTTTTTTTTTTTTTTTGATGGACGGAGTCTGGTCTGTCCGCCCAGGCTGAGTGCGGTGGGCCGCGATCTCAAGCTCACTGCAAGCTACCGCCTCCCGGGTTCACGATTCTCCTTCCTCAGCCATCCGCTGAGTAGCTGGGACTACAGGCGCCCGCCACCTCGCCCGGCTAGTTTTTTGTGTTTTTAGTAGAGACGGGGTTTCACCGTGTTAGCCAGGATGATCTCGATCTCCTGACCTTGTGATCCGCCCGCCTCGGCCTCCCAAAGTTCTGGGATTACAGGCTTGAGCCACCGCGCCCGGCCTTTGTCATCTTTTAAAATTATTGGCCAGGGCATGGCATGGTGGCTCACGTCTGCAATCCCAACACTTTGGGAGGCCAAGGCGGAGTTAGAGACCGGTCTGGGCAATATGGTGAAACCCTATCTCTACCAGAACAGACGACGACAAGATAGATATATTAGCTGGGTGTGGTGGTGCGCGCCTGAAGTCCGAGGTAGAAAGATCTCTTGAGGCCTGGAGTTCGTAAGACTGCAGTGAGTCGTGATAGCACCACTGCACTCCAGCCTGGGCGACAGACCCTGTCTCAAAAAGTAAATACATAGCTCAGGCTCAGTGGCTCATGCCTATAATCCCAACAGTTTGCGAGGCCGAGGTGGGTGGATCACTTAAAGTCAGGAGTTCAAGACCAGCCTGGTCAATATGGTGAAACTCCATCTTTACTAAGTTGCAGCGAGCCAAAATTGCACCACTGCACTCC